GTCAATGATGCATTTTGCAGCGCAAAGGCACTGGAGAATATGAATGTCAAAGGAAAATTTGTATTGTGTATATCTGATGGTAATGTTACTAGAATTGATAAGGGACATCATGTGAAGGATGCTAGTGGTGTTGGAATGATACTCATGAACGATGAATTGCGAGGGTTCAATATCTCTGCCGAAGCACAGGTTGTTCCAGCAGCACATGAGGTGATCCAGGCTTAATCTATGACATCAAACCCGAGGATTATGTTCATTATTTATGTGGTTTAAAATACCCAAACAAAGCAGCTTATATGTTTGTATTGAGAAAAGTGAATTACTCATCAACAATTCCTGAAGCAGAACTAAATTATCTTCTTTTTCAATTGGACTTGGACTAGAAGCTCAAACATATACGAGGACAATGACTAATGTTTGTGAAGGTGTCTCGTCCTACATTATAGAGATTATTTTACCATAATCCAATAGATTCAAGAGATAACAGCAAGCTAATAATTAGTATTAAAGAAGAACCAAAGCTATTGCAACAACACAATTAATATTATGTGACGAATTGTCTATCATTTGAAGGGCAACCAAGTTCGTACATCCTCGACTGAGTGAACCAATGATAAAGAAAAACAATAGCTACACCACGACTTGCCTTCACGCATAGAGTCAAAGAATCAAAAAGAGAGTAGGCAAAGGACAACAAAAGTCAATCAAAGAATTGTAATCGACCCTAAGTAAAGCTCTATGTAAAGCACAGGTAACCATCAGGCATCTGCAACTTCGATTTGTAATTGGTTCACAATTTTTGGAAATTCAGACAACGTATTTTGCATCAGAAATGCTTTAGCAACAACTAATATCTACTTCTTGAATATAATAATTTAAGTAGCCCAGAGGCAAAGTACTTCACCAAATTGGTACTCTTTAAGGATAAAGCCAACTTTGGTTAGCACATTCTCAGCAACTGTTGGTTAGGTCTGCTAACATAGATTAGACTCATATTTAAGTATGTAGAGTTAAGCACAGGAATATTAAACAAATTTAACTGAAGTTGCACAAGCAATTCCCAGAAAAGTCACAGTCATACAGGTAAAAATATTATTACACAGCTCTTATATTGATCTTGTTAAACCAGATCTGCCAAACAGTCCAGGTACAGGCAAAAATCATAATGAAGACAAGGCAGCGGCTGGGAAAACACAGGCAAATAAGTGAAATCCTTGAAAAAGTCTACATCTCTATCCCTTGACCAGGAAGAAAGTGAAATCTTCAATCTCCTTTACTTGACTATGGTCCTATATAAGGAAGGAAGTGGACTTCTCTACCTGGTTTAGACTTTATACTTCTTTTTATGCTCTATTAGTAGTTTAGTACTCTAAACTATTTGCACCAGTTATTCTATCTTTATTCGTGTGGTGATCTGTTGATTCTGTCATTTTGATTTTTTGGTATTTATAAAATTGAGGAAATGACATGTGTTGTACAAGTGCTACTCTAATGATTTTGGATATGTTGAGGTTGTATAATATCATAGTTTCTTTTCCATTTTGAGTCGTGCCTACAATTTTAATATCGAATACATTTCTAGTGTCTCCTTGATAAATTAGCATCTCTTACATCTTTGCCTATGAATTCCAATGTCCTGATGTGTTTTTTCCTTCCTTTATCGTTACTGTGTTAGTGTTGTACTGCTGCCTGTATGACGTGGGAGTTGGCAGATTCAGGAAAGCACTTCATCACTACAATAATAAATAGTTCTGATTTGGTGCCTACATTTTAAACCGATTATGTGTTACCAACTCCTATATCCCAAAATCCTCCCTCTATGCCTAATGTACTTGCAGGCATGGACAAAGAAGGAAATACAAAGGCCTCTAAGATCACAGGTACTGAATCAATGCTCCCACTACCCCTCACCGCTTTAGATAATTGTTTAACTGTTGTGGAAGTTGTTGGAGTGTTGGATGGAGGGTTGAAGGAAAATTTTACTAACTTGCAGGAAGGGGTATCCAAAGGGGGGTTCATCATGATATACATGAGAATTTACACACTGACCCTAAGAAAGACCCTAGAGATTCTACTACCACTTCTCATCAGACCACACAAGAGAATGAGCACAATCAACTCATCCATCAGGGAAAGGTTTTCGGTCAGGGACACAGTAAACATAATGATCAACAGGGTAATCTTAATACTTCTCATAGCACTCAAAAAAAGAATCAGAAAAAAGAATGTTCATTAGAGAGAATAGGAGCAGAACATACAAGATAGTGGGGGCACAAAGCAAGGGCAAACTATCAACAACAAATCTCAGGGCAAACTAAGCGAAAAGAAAAGAGATGCGATCAAAAGAAGGCAACAACAAGCAGCAGGGACAGAAGAGAATAAGGGGTAAGAGGTACAGGTTCAAGTTGGTCAATATGAACATAGCAACAACATAAATACAGATTATGAAATGATACATTCTGAGGATTTGTATGATCAGGACACATAGTCTTTGGTGCAAGTTTTTCAATTTTGGAGGCTTAATGCATGAAAGAGTTAACTTTTGTCAACATCCAAAGATTCTGATGTCGGATCAAAATTTCGTCAGTTCCATCAGCTACAGTTGGGTCCTTTTGGTTTAGAATGATGTTTGGTTCAGGTTTCGAGGCTTCTATTTGGAGTGTGTACGATTAGGCGTTTTAGCTTTTGTGGTGAAAACTAGAAATAATATGATAAATTAACACAATTTACTTCACTATACCAACTAAAAAATAACAACAACAACAACAACCAAAAGAAAAAGATGATCACTTAGACTGTTTATGTGTACATGACACGCAATTAACAGTTTGTCGATTAATCCATATTAAACAAGAAAGAGGAATTAGTTGATCTCATGATCATATGAATGTTGGGATTTACGCAATTAAAATAAAATTCAAAATTTTAATGAAATTTTCTCTAACCTTTCTTGTGTGAACACCTGCAACAAGTGATGATGGTTGTTGACAATCTTCATGTGGGTTATCAGGAACCTATTGCAAAAGAGGAAGACTATTATAATTAAGAGAAACTAAGTTTTCATCTAAAAAAAGTAATTTTTTGTGAGCAACACAATTATTTCACCTGCTCTGATTTTAAATTTGCATCAATATTAATTCCCAAAGACTCTACATATGCTTGTATTCCTTCCTTCACTTTATCCGCTATAATTTCTTCCATATCCATTTTTTCTTCCGATAATTTTCTCTCCATCACTTCGTTATTCTCTTTTGCTTCCTCTTTCGCTTCTAACAACTTTTTATCCATCGTTTCCATCTCTTTTGTTGCTTCATACATCTTCTCTGTCATCTCAATTTTCAAAGCTGAGGTAGCTTTTTGAACTTCCATCTCAACCCTTGTATCAAAATCTCTTTTTTCAGCTTGAGATCGTTTATATACGGGGCCATATACTAAGCTAGGAGATGCTCCTTTTCCTAGAGTTCGGACAATTCCATGAGTGTCTGATCCCATTACTTGGGAGTACACATCATTAGGAGCACTTCCAAGGACATTCAACTCAGGATACACCTCGGCAAGATCATCCATTTGTTTCTTTTTGAAAGAAAGGTAAAGTAATGAGAAGTTTTTAAAAAAAAATTGTAATAGAAAGAAAGTACCTATATATTTGTAAAGAGTAAGAGTTTACCATAACTTCACCAACTATCTCATTTACTGGTTGTTTATTCGCTCTAATGTGAGTTTTTTTTAACACCTCAATACGAGTTGACTTTACACCATTATTCATCTTTGTCATATGTTTGAATAGTAAGAGATTGACATTAAATATTCACGATAAGTATTATTTAATATATAAATTATGGAAAATAAATAGTGATTACTTCGTACATCGTTTATAATTTGAGAATGACTTTTTCTCCTTGATGTGTGTGGCATAGTCAATTTTTTCAACTTTCTTTGTTTCTCTCACTCTTTTCCTAGAAATTTGAACACAACAATATATAAGAGGACATGCGCAATCTTGAATATATAAAAGAAATAGCCAAGAAAAAATATAAAAAAGCAGCATAGTTGAGTTTCACAAAGTGCAATTAATTTCTATACAAGAACATTTTGTGCAGGTTGGCAAATTGGACATGTACAACAACATTATTTCTGCCAATTAGAAGAAAGGGACAAATTAGAAAGAACTTCTAGTTGTTCTATAATAAGAAGTATAATCAGGGAAAACACAACTTTAATAATTTATGACAACTTCTATGAAATTCTCATTTAGTAGAGCAAATGCAGAAATAGAAATCTAGCATATACCTTTGTTTCTTTTGAGCTCCAATAATGAACTAATGAATGCTACTGATCTTCTTCAACTCTATCTGGACAATGAGCTAAACGCTCAATATCAGTGTTATATGGGTCATATCCAATGGTTTTTGCTTCATGCTTTGATTCTTTCCATTTAGATCCAAATGACATCATCAGTATGCGCTTCATGTCATCAGTTGCGTCAGTATTTTCCTATACATATATTTAATACACAACTCATTTATAAAATAAAATATAAAAACAAAAACATCTTAGTATATAGGTTTTGTGTATACTAAGAACCTTGATATGAGCCCATATTCTATCCTTGTACATACTAGGTACAAGCCTCCAATCTTTATGATTCAGTGGCGCTAAGATGCCATTTCGTGCTAGCACACCAAGCTTTGAACTCAATCTAGTTCCTTCTGACCCAATAACTTGACCATGTTCATTCAATTCAATATGTAAATTTTCACTATCTTTCCCCCATCCCGAGTGCATCATAGTGGGACCCCTAGTTCGCTTAGATTGCTCTTCACTCTCATTAGAATCTATAAATAATCAAAGATAAAAAGAGGCAAATTTATTATTTATATAAAAATTATCTAACTACATTATACTATGAAAGGAAGAATAAATATCATGAGATTTGATACCTAGAAGATTTTTTGTATCATGTGATTCATCTCTTTCATTTTGTGGCCAATTTTGAGGTGGTTGAGGCATTGACATACTTCCGATTTGTTGTTTTTGTTGCTCAGAATCTATAAATAATCAAAGATAAAAAGAGGCATATATTTTTTTATATAAAAATTATCCAACTACTTTATACTATGAAAGGAAGAATAAATATCATGATATTTAATACCTGGAAGATTTTTTGTATCATGTGATTCATCTCTTTCATTTTGTGGCCAATTTTGGGGCGGTTGAGGCATTGACATACTTCCGATTTGTTGTTTTTATTGCTCAGAATCTATAAATAATCAAAGATAAAAAGAGGCAAATTTATTATTTATATAAAAACTATCTAACTACTTTATACTATGAAAGGAAGAATAAATATCATGATATTTAATACCTGGAAGATATTTTGTATCATGTGATTCATCTCTTTCATTTTGTGGCCAATTTTGGGGCGATTGAGGCACTGACATACTTCCAATTTGTTGTTTTTGTTGCTCCGAAGAATCATATAAAAGCTCACCTTGACTAGAATTTCTCTGTCTTTTTCTTGCCATTTCAACGAAGTTACTCAGCAGCTATGAATCCTTCCAAATTTAAAGTAGTTTCTACTATATAAAAGTATAAAATAATATCTAACTATCATGTCAAATAATAAGATATATAAACATATGAGATTTTAACAGTTGAATGAAGAGTAAAAACATCAAAGTCATTATTGTTCAAAAATCAATTGTACTGAAATAGTGATTATACTACTATAGTAACAAAAACTAAAATATGTTGTCATCTTCATCATATGCTTCATTTCTTTCAAAAGTTTCTGGGTCAATTTCTAATCCTGGTACACCTTCTCTAACCCATTCAATGTCTTCTTCAGTTTCAAATATTGTGTCATCCAATTGTTGTTCAGGCCACAACTCCATATGTCCTTCCTTAAGCTCAATTGTTGGTGTGTCATCACCTAAATCATAAAAACCTCTTGGCTTAAGTTTAACAACCATTCGCCACTCCTTTTCCATAGGATGATCGACATAAAACACTTGTTGAGCTTGAGAAGCAAAGATGAATGGTTCATCTGATAACTGATGTCTTGTATAGAGTAGATGATTAAAATTCACAAGAGTAAATCCATAATCATCTTTCTCAATAAGCCCCTTGCTATTGTTCACCCATTTACATTTAAACAATACAAACTTGAGATTCTTGGAATAATATAACTCAATTATGTCTGTGAGGATTCCATAAAAAAGAAACCTCTGCCAATATGGGATTTTTATCTTTTGTGCTTGCATAACTTTGAGTGATAGCCTTTAACATAATACCACTATTTTGAGTTTTTCTCTTAACATCACGAGACTCTGTTAAGTATCTAATTCCATCACATATATAGCCAGTCATTCTTTTTTCTTGTATTAATGGGCTAATAGCTAAAGTTTGAATATCCTCGGATATTTTTTCACCAGCCATATGCATCTTCTCGACCTAGCATTCAAAAATAAAGATGTGATCTAAAAGTTATAATTACCTATATAGTAATATATGAGAAAATATTTTAGCTAGTTGATACTTACATGATTTCTAAACCATAGTTGAAATCTTTCATTATGAATTCGATCCACATTATGTCTTGAAAGACGAGGATTTTCCTTCTTGATTTCTTTTATATGTTCACTACGGAAGTAAAACACGTAACTATTTAATAAAAAATTGAAAAAAAAATATTTAATAATTAATTACTAAGTATAAATTATGATTTAATACTTACTCACGATATGAAGTTGTGGATGTAGAATTAAATAAAACATATCTGTGGGCTTGAGCACGTGTAGTGTCATCAAGCTTAAATCCTTTCTCTCTACTTGATCGACGACCCTCTTGGTCTGTCGTTTCATTAGGTAAAACATCATTTCTTAAAGGTGGATTAGACTTAGTCTCGACGTCATCTAAATACCATGAGCAAAACGTCATTTACTCGTCTATCCAACGTCCCTCTGCAATAGCACCTTCTAGATAACGTCTATTCCTTACGTAGTTTTTAAGACAAAGCAATAATCTAAAATAGACAATTTTTAGAATACAAATACAATTTCTTGTAAGTATGATAAAAAAAATAACAAAATGATACCGTTCGATAAACCACATTGAGCGATATTGTGAAGGTCCTCCCAACATTGCTTCTTTAGCTAAATGGATAAGTAGATGTTCCATGATATCAAAGAAAGATGGAGGAAATATTCTCTCCAAATGACATAGAGTTATTGCAACTCAATCTTGGAGTTTTTCTAAGTCACCTATCTTTAGATCTTTTGAACAAATGCCCCTAAAGAAATTACTTAATTCAATCAATGGCTTAAGTACATTCACTGGCAGGAGATTCCGCAAGGCAATAGGAAGGAGTTGTTGCATTAAAATATGGCAGTCATGACTCTTCAACCCATGCATTGTGCGTTGCTTGAGATCAACACAACTTGAGATATTAGAAGCATATCCGTCTGGCACTTTCACATCTTTTAACACTTGTAAGAGGATGTCTTTTTGTGTGTTACTCAATGTGAAACATGCAGGAGGAAGATAATATTTTCCATTAGCCTTTTTCTTTGATGCAAAGCTTTTCGGATCCCCATCTCTTGTAAATCTATACGGGAGTTTAAATTATCTTTTCCTTTTACATCAACATTCAATAATGTCCAAAATATATTGTCAAAGACATTCTTTTCAATATGCATCGTATCAAGATTATGACGAATCATATTGTCTTTCCAGTATTCCAACTCAAAAAATATGCTCTTTTTGTTCCATATATTTTGCACCAATTTATCAACATCATCCCATTTCCTTTTACGAGATTTGGCCAATAGATCTTTACCAAACTTGTTTTTAACATTATTCAATTGCTTAAGAATCTCAATTCCCGACAACCATTTAGGTGCTCCATCTAACTCCACATGGCCATTGAATGCCACTTTATCTTTTCGAAACTTGTGTCCATGAGATAACCATTGTCTATGAGACATGAAACAATATTTTCGCCCATTTTTCAATCTTGTATATTTAGTTTTGGTAAGACAACATGGACAAGCATATCTAGTTTTCACACCATATCCTGATAAGTTACCTAACCCTGGAAAATCACTAATTGTTCAAAGCAATGCTGCACGCATTTGAAACATGTGATTGTTTGATATGTCATAAGTGGCAACACCAACCCACAATTCTTTTAACTCATCAACTAAGGGTTGTAGATAGACATCAATATCATTACCTGGTGCATGAGGACCATCAATAATAGTTGATAATATCATATATGGTTGTTTCATGCACAACCATGGTGGCAAATTATATGGAATCAAGATAATAGGCCATGTGCTATGTGAGATAGACATAGACTTAAATGGACTAAAGCCATCTGAAGCCAATCCAAGTCTAACATTTCGAGGATCTCGAGCAAAATTTGTATGTGCTTCATCAAATCTCCTCCAAGCAACACTGTCAGCAGGATGTCGCATTACCCCATCTCTAGTGCGACCTTCAGCATGCCATCTCATTTGAGTAGATGTTTTAGCTGACATAAATAGTCTTCGAAGTCGTGGTATTAATGGAAAATATCTAAACACCTTTGATGGAATTTTTGATGTTTCTGAACTGGAAATAATTGATGCACCTTTGAACTGTTTGTATCGTGGAGCTTTGCAATACTTACAAGACGTTCTATCTTTCGTCTCATTCCAATAAATCATACAATCATTTGGACATGCATGTATCTTTTTATATTCAAGTCCTAAATCTTTAATAATCTTCTTTGAATCATAAAAGGACTTGGGCAATGTTTCACCTTCTGGAAGCACATCTTTTAACAACTCTAATAGCATGGAAAATGATTTGTTACTCCATCCATTGAGACACTTTAAGTGTAATAGACGAACAAGAAACGAAAGTAGTGAATACTTGTTTCTAGGATATAACTCACGTTCATCTTCTTTCAGTAAGCAAAAGAATTCTTCAGTCTTCTTATCAAAACCCATGTTATGTTGATTTGACCTATCAAATCCTTCAGCACTAGTGTCCATATCAACAAAAGATGTAGGAGGAATTCCAAATGCTTCATTTAACATGTCTTGCATCTCATCACCTTTATCTAACTGATTGACCAATTTTGATAAAAATAGCTCCTCACCATGATAAATCCAACTAGTGTAACTAGTTAGAAATCCATCAACCACAATATGTTCAACAATCAAATCTTTTCGAACAAATTTCATATTACGACACTTTTGACATGGACACAATATTGCAGATGCATCTGGCCTATCTAATGATGCAAAATGAAGAAACTCTTTGGCTCCATTCTCATATAAAGGATCAAGCGTATTCAATATATTTATCCAACTTTTATCCATTAAGTATATAACCTATACATATAGCAAACAAGAATTATACCCTCATACTATTAAAGACTAATACCTCCATACTATTAAAGAAAACAACCAAACACATACTAACCTGCAAAGTCCACACAAAGAGTCCTGAAATTGATATCAATGTTCTTCCACTACGGTTGCTTTCTTTGTAATCTTCAAACTGCAAATCAATAGTTAAATTTCAACAAATCAATATAATGTATGAAGGCTAGTCATGTGAAATTATTAGTACTTGAGGTAATATACTCACCTCAAGTAAATCAAGTAGTAAAAGAGAAGAGGAAGAGAGACAAAAGGTGAATCTAACGGAACAATGAAGACAAAGGTAATGGTACATCATTACAGGTTCTTCTCCAAGACTTATACATGATGCATCTAAATTGCTGGATAAAAGAAGTCAACTAGGCAAAGTGACCAAGCTGACTTAACAAATAAGACGTCTTGCATTATATGTCGGAATTTACTTGGTTCTTGTTGTTTCATTATATAAATGACAAAGCTTTTAAAAACTGAAATGAAACAAATAATGTCATACCATAACTAGGTATCATTTTTCCTAGGTTTGTTGGGAGTACGATACTTACCTGCAATTCTAGGTTTGCTATTCATACAATAAACTGTTCATATGACTGTCAAACTAAAACTTTCACATTCTTCCTAGGTTAGCTGAAGTCTAATATAGAATATGCCAGAAGAGAGATTTACCAAGAAGAAGAGCCAAATTAGCAGGAAGAACAGTGGCAAACTAAAAAAAAAGAAGAATAACAAAAATAATACAAACAATGAGGAGAGACCTAAGACACCTCAAGAACAAATGGATCAGGCAGATTCCCAGAAAAGTCACAGTCATACAGGTAAAAATATTATTACTATAAGTGGGAGAGGTTGCAGGAATTGCAGTAGGTACCATTGTCATGCTTAACATACTAATAGCAGGGTAATTAGATTCAACTATTGTTCTGTTTAAACTGTAGCCAATAGCCATGTGGTGTTCATTTTTGCATCTTGGAGTGTTCATCAAGTTTCTATTTCCCCTTTAATAATTCGACAGATCATGTATTCCTATGTAACTATATGAATATCAATTATTGTCAATTTTTGCAGAGAATTCCCAATTGAGAATGGGAAGGCATTGCAGTTTATTTACAGCAACAAGCAGTTCAAGAGAAAGGGAG